GAGTCAAAATTTCAGAAGAAGATCACATAGATGTGATTCTTGATGGTTTGCCTGAAGATTTCGATAGTTTTGTGACCTCCATAACATCTCGAATTGATCCATACACAGTAGATGAGATCGAGGCTCTGCTTCTTGCACAAGAAGAGAGGTTTGACAAGAGAAAACGCAATGAGATAAGTCTTGTTCATGCTAACACTGCCTCAGTACCTGCTCAATGGAAAAACAATGACACCAATTCTGGTATAGGCAACAATAACTACCGAGGTGGTTTTTCTGGAGGCAAGTTCAATCAAAGAGGTGGACAACGAAACGGTCGTGGTAGAAACAATGGTGGCAGAGGCAGTGGAAGGACAAACTGGAATCAGAATAATCACAATACATGGCATCAGGTAAAAATTTCTTGCCAAATTTGTGGGAAAAATGGCCATACTGCTCTTGATTGCTGGAACAGGTATAATCAGGAGTATCAACCTCAACCACAGGTCCATACCTCTCAAATGTATCATCACAACAATGCTTCAGGTGATGCTACAATGCTGGCCACACCGTCTACAGTAGTGAATCCTCTTTGGTATCCAGATTCAGGTGCTTCTCACCACATCACACATGATGATTCCACCCTGTCGACCAAAAATACTTACACTGGTTCAGACAAAGTTAATATTGGTAATGGTACAGGCTTAAATATACATCATGTTGGTCATTCATATTTGCACTGTCCTAAATTCTCTAAAACTGTCATTCTTAATAATCTTCTTCATGTCCCTTCCATAACAAAAAATTTACTTAGTGTGTCACAATTTGCTCGGGATAATCATGTCTTTTTTGAATTTTATCCTGATTTTTGTACTGTTAAAACTCAGGGTACCCGGGAAACAGTTCTTCAAGGGCAACTTAGAGGTGGTTTATATGTTTTCCCACCCATGCACAAGGTTCAGCCTCCTTTAGCTTTTTCTGCTGAGAAGAGTTCATCTCACTCCCGCTTTACTCTTTGGCACTCAAGACTGGGTCATCCCTCTCCTAAAATTCTTAAAGTAGCTTTAAGAAATAGTCATATTCCTTGTAATAATTTTCCAGATTCTGTATTGTGTGAGTCATGTTGCATGGGTAAAGCTCATCAACTTCCTTTTATAAATTCAAATTCAGAATATCATACTCCTCTTCAGTTAGTTTTCTCAGACATTTGGGGCCCTTCCCCCGTTGCAACTTCTACTGGTGCTAGATATTATATAGTTTTCTTGGATGCTTTTTCAAAATATTCTTGGATCTATCTTTTAAATTCTAAATCTGAAGCATTTACTGCTTTTCAACAATTTAAGTCCTCTGCTGAGCTTCAATTGAATACTAAAATCAAAGCTATACAAACTGATAATGCTAAGGAATTCATAAAATTGTCCAAATACCTCAATGAAAATGGCATTCAACATCGATTAACTTGTCCTCATACACATGAACAGAACGGCAGCCCAGAAAGAAAACATAGACATATCACAGAAACTGGCCTCACTCTGCTAGCTAATGCATCTTTACCTCTCTGCTTCTAGGGTGAAGCTTTCCTTATTGCCACCATCCTCATCAATCTTTTGCCTACCCCTTCTCTAAATAATCTAAGTCCTCATGAAACACTTTTTTCAAAAACCCCCAGACTATAACTTCCTTCGAATTTTTGGTTGTGAATGTTATCCTTTACTTCGACCATACAACCATCATAAATTAGATTTTCGAACTCAACAATGTCTCTTTTTGGGCTATGGCAATCAACAGAGAGGCTACAAATGTATGTCTCCATCCGGGAAAATATATATGTCTAGGCATGTTAAGTTCGATGAGAACCTTTTTCCATACAAAGAGAAAACCAATCCTTTTTCATCTGAGTCACTCTGTGAAAATAATAATTCTGTTTCTAATCCATCTCTCACTCTAGTCAACTCTATTCCTATGAATGATCATAATGATGTAGTCATGCCTATTAACACCATTCACACTGATGCCACTACTACTGATGTTACTAATATCACTTCTACTGATGTTTCTAATGATACTTGTATCTCGCCTAGTCCTATTGCTACTACAGGTTCATCTCAGCAACCTCCATCTAATACTCACCCTATGATCACAAGGGCTAAAGCGAGTATTTACAAACCAAAGTCATATACAGCTGCTGCTTCATCAAAAACATATGATCACACTATTGAACCTACATCAGTAAAGGAGACACTCTCTAAACCGGAATGGTATAGAGCTATGCAAGATGAGTATCTTGCACTACAGAAAAATGACACTTGGAATTTAGTAGACTTACCTGCTGGTTGTCGTACTATAGGCTGCAAGTGGGTCTTTAAAAGCAAGCACAATGCTGATGGCAGCTTCCAAAGACATAAAGCCAGGCTAGTCGCCAAAGGCTACCACCAGCGAGAAGGTTTTGATTTTCATGAGACATTTAGTCCTGTTGTTAAACCTACAACAGTGCGGGTTGTACTTAATTTGGCTCTATTCAAACAGTGGCATATTCATCAAATTGATATCAACAATGCATTTCTGCATGGAGAATTGACGGAGACGGTGTATATGAATCAACCCCCTGGCTTTAACACTACTCACAAAAATAAAGTGTGCAAGTTACATAAAGCAATTTATGGGCTCAAACAAGCACCACGGTCATGGTTTCAGAAGCTCAGTACTACTCTCATTCACATGGGATTTCGTCCAACCAGGAGTGACACTTCTTTATTTGTAAGGAATACTTCCACATCCACCATCCTACTTTTGATCTATGTGGATGACATAATAATCACTGGCAGTTCACAAGCTGAGATGAATTCATTAATTCTTACCCTGCACACAAAATTTAGCCTAAAAGATCTTGGCCCTCTTCATCATTTCTTAGGTATTGAGGTATCCCATACTTCTGATGAAGGCTTATTTCTTTCTCAAAAATAGTATATTCGAGATTTACTTCATAGAGCCAAGATGGATGATTCTAAACCACAACCTACACCTATGACTTCTGGTCTAAAACTCACTGCCAATGGCTCTACATCTATCCCCGACCCCTTCTTTTATAGATCAATTTTAGGTGGCCTCCAATACATCACCATCACCAGACCAGAATTGTCCTTTTCCATTAATAATGTCTGTCAATTTATGCATAATCCTCAAGAACATCATTGGAAGGGTGTGAAACGGATACTGGGATACCTACAAGGGACTGTCACTCATGGTCTTCACTTAAGAAGACCAACTAATCTGACCTTAATGGCCTTCTCAGATTCCGATTGGGGTTCTGACTTGGTTGATCGAAAGTCTACAACTGGATACTGTGTGTACTTTGGGAACAATCTTGTGTCTTGGTCATCACGAAAGCAACATGCTGTCTCTAGGAGTAGTACCAAAGCTGAGTATCGGGGTTTAGCTGCTGTTACTACTGAAATTGTATGGATCCAATCACTTCTTAGTGAACTTCAAGTGAATACTGCTACTCCAACAATCTACTGCGACAATCTTGGTGCTGTGATGTTGGTTGCTAACCATATATATGATTTGCAGAACATAATTTAACTTTTTTCTCCATTATTTAATTAATAACGTTATTTTCAAACATATGAGTGATTTTTAAAAATTAAAGAAAAGATGTGTTATTCTTAAATTTGGACGTCATGTGTTGGTATTTTCAAGATAAGTAAAAAAACACATTTACGCTAATTAGTTTATAATTTATAATAACCTAAACATATAATTATATATAGGTAAGTCATACCTCACTCACTCTGATTTATATTTATCTTATTCATTACAATATATTTATATTTTGAAAACACCCATATAATAATGAAAATATTATAGAATGCATTGTTGTGTGTATCGATAGGATCAAGATTGCTTGCATTTGAAAAACAATTGGCTTATATTTTGTTTAATAATTTCAGACGGATTTAAATCCGTCGGAAATTCTGTCAAAAATTTGAGACGGATTTAAATCCGTGGGAAATTTCGTCAGAAATTTCAGACAGATTTAAATCCGTCAGAAATTCCGTCGAAAATTCCGTCAAAAATTTCCTACGGATCTAAATCCGTGGGAAATTATCCGTCGGAAATTCAACTTTTTCTTGTAGTGATTAGTATCAGAAGGTTACTAAACTGTCACTATCATTTGCATCACTAGCAAGGGTCTCCAACTCAAAAAACCTATCCTCCAAATCGCCCTCCTGTTTTCTGCTACTCGAAGAAAGCTTGTGTCTCCCCACAGTAAAATTCAAGGAAACAATATGTCTTGAATTATAAAATTGTTCCCACATTATTCCACGAGACTCAAAGATGCAACTCTATTGTTCCACATAACTAGTTCGTGCTAATTTGACATAAGAAGCTCTCACATTAAACCCTCAGGTCCTATAAAGACAAGCACAATAAACGATCACTGCCTGCTCTTACTGATATTAAAGTATGAATTAATAAAATAATCTCTGATACACAGAAAATAGGTTAAAGAACGAATAATGTAAATTTTGGATTGAAATAAGAGGGAAAATGGGAAAGTGGAGTTGCGTTTGAAATGGTGCAATTCGCAAAAGAGTGAACATTTGAGAAGGAGAATGGTTACCTGAGAGAGATCGATAAACAAAGGAATGAAATAGATGCTGAAAGATATATTGAATTATTATCATCAACATGAATTACAGAGAATGATTTAAAGACCTTATATAAGCTACACGTAACAGAATAATCTTATCATAAACAATGACAGCTAAGATAACTAATCATAGCTAAACAAATGATTTTATCATAACAGAATTAGTTTTAATCTAACTAACTTTATTATCCTTAACATCCCCCCTCAAACTTATGTCACATGATGAAGTGACCATAAGTTTGCGTCGAAAACTCTCAAATGGAGGGCCAGTGGTGGACTTTGTAAGAATGTCTGCAACCTGAAATTGTGATGATAGATGAAAAACCTAAATGGCTCTAGTAAGCACCTTATCTCTTACAAAGTATAGATCAAGTTCAAAATGTTTAGTTCGGGAGTGCATGATGGGGTTAGCAGCTAACATCACAGCACCAAGATTGTCGCAGTAGATTGTTGGAGTAGCAGTATTCACTTGAAGTTCACTAAGAAGTGATTGGATCCATACAATTTCAGTAGTAACAGCAGCTAAACCCCGATACTCAGCTTTGGTACTACTCCTAGAGACAGCACGTTGCTTTCGTGATGACCAAGACACAAGATTGTTCCCAAAGTACACACAGTATCCAGTTGTAGACTTTCAATCAACCAAGTCAGAACCCCAATCGGAATCTGAGAAGGCCATTAAGGTCAGATTAGTTGGTCTTCTTAAGTGAAGACCATGAGTGACAGTCCCTTGTAGGTATCTCAGTATCCGTTTCACAGCCTTCCAATGATGTTCTTGAGGATTATGCATAAATTGACAGACTTTATTAATGGAAAAGGACAATTCTGGTCTGGTGATGGTGATGTATTGGAGGCCACCTACAATTGATCTATAAAAGGAGGGGTCGGGGATAGATGTAGAGCCATTGGCAGTGAGTTTTAGACCAGAAGTCATAGGTGTAGGTTGTGGTTTAGAATCATCCATCTTGGCTCTATGAAGTAAATCTCGAATATACTATTTTTGAGAAAGAAATAAGCCTTCATCAGAAGTATGGGATACCTCAATACCTAAGAAATGATGAAGAGGGCCAAGATCTTTTAGGCTAAATTTTGTGTGCAGGGTAAGAATTAATGAATTCATCTCAGCTTGTGAACTGCCAGTGATTATTATGTCATCCACATAGATCAAAAGTAGGATGGTGGATGTGGAAGTATTCCTTACAAATAAAGAAGTGTCACTCCTGGTTGGACGAAATCCCATGTGAATGAGAGTAGTACTGAGCTTCTGAAACCATGACCGTGGTGCTTGTTTGAGCCCATAAATTGCTTTATGTAACTTGCACACTTTATTTTTGTGAGTAGTGTTAAAGCCAGTGGGTTGATTCATATACACCGTCTCTGTCAATTCTCCATGCAGAAATGCATTGTTGATATCAATTTGATGAATATGCCACTGTTTGAATAGAGCCAAATTAAGTACAACCCGCACTATTGTAGGTTTAACAACAGGACTAAATGTCTCATGAAAATCAAAACCTGCTCGCTGGTGGTAGCCTTTGGCGACTAGCCTGGCTTTATGTCTTTGGAAGCTGCCATCAGCATTGTGCTTGCTTTTAAAGACCCACTTGCAGCCTATAGTACGACAACCAACAGGTAAGTCTACTAAATTCCAAGTTCCATTTTTATGTAGTGCAAGATACTCATCTTGCATAGCTTTATACCATTCCGGTTTAGAGAGTGCCTTCTTTACTGTTGTGGGTTCAATAGTGTGATCATATGTTTTTGATGAAGCAGCAGCTGTATATGACTTTGGTCTGTAAATACCCGCTTTAGCCCTTGTGATCATCGGGTGAGTATTAGATGGAGGTTGCTGAGATGAACCTGTAGTAGCAACAGGACTAGGCGAGATACAAGTATCATTAGAAACATCCGTAGAAGTGACATCAATAACATCAGTAGTAGTGGCATCAGTGTGAATGGTGTTAATAGGCATGACTACATCATTATGATCATTCATAGGAATAGAGTTGACTAGAGTGAGAGATGGATTAGAAACATAATTATTATTTTCACAGAGTGACTCAGATGAAAAAGGATTGGTTTTCTCTTTGTATGGAAAAAGGTTCTCATCGAACTTAACATGCCTAGACATATATATTTTCCTGGATGGAGACATACATTTGTAGCCTCTCTGCTGATTTCCATAGCCCAAAAAGAGACATTGTTGAGTTCGAAAATCC